TTTCAAGTATGTCAGATGGATCGAGTCTCTTGAAGTCAGGGCGTTCTTGAATCATCAGGGCTAAGGTGTCAAATGAACTGACAAGTGATCTCAGCAGTGTCTTGACGATTTCATGCTTGGTGATCTCAGCAGCACCGAGAGCTTGAAGCTCATTTGTGATGTCAGTGAGTCGATCAAACTGAGCTGAACATTCTCATTGTCGTTTCTCTTGAAGCGGTTGAAGAGGTTACGAAGGACACTGATTCTTTGATCTCTCTGGGTTGAGACGCCTTCGTTGACCTTGGAGAGCCAGTCCCAGACTAGCTTGGATGTTTCCAGAGCACTCACACGGCCATACTGTCCTTTGGTCAGATGACCACAGATGATATTCTTGGTAGTGGAATCTAGTTGAACGAACTTCTTGACATCAGCAGCGGTGACACCTTCACCAGCCTTGGGGATGCCATTCTTGACGACATACCAGAGGTCGACATCAATGGCTTCAAGATGCATGCGCATCTTATTCTTCCAGTAGGGATATTCACTTCCATCGAAGACTGGGCACGCATCAGAGACTTTGATTATCCCTGTAGTCGACATAGCTAAAACTCCAGGTGGTTAAACCGAATCACACAGAACAAGGGAGTATCTTGCTCTGATACCAATTGAAAGTGCTAGTGATCGACTAGAGGGGGGTGAATAGGCGATTTTTATGAAAGTCTTCAATACATGGAAGTTTTGAAGACAAACGATAGAAACAAACCTATTACTATGTAGCGGAAGGTAGACTACACTAGGCAAGCCATAGTCAAGTATCCAATGAAGTGAAAGCACAACGACTAATAGCAGCTAGGCAGTATAGATCAGGACGGAAGATAGTATGAAGCCAATCAGAACAAGCAGATACACAATGAAGATAAAAAGATAATGCAAACAGGCAATGACTTCACAAGGACCAACTGCAAATAAGGAGATGGGAATGATAGAACCAGTGGCTCGTTGAAGACAATGATTTGTTGGACCAGTTCCAGTTGCTGTGACAATTGTACGTCTGGTTAGGGAGGCTGAGATTCAACTCAGAAGACCGCGTCTTCACCTTATTCCCCTTGAGCTAAGGACACCTAGTCCTCGCCCAATCACTCTGGTAAGTCTTCAAGGTAGACTTCCAAACCTTCACACACTTCGTTCACCGGCGATCCACAATGACTCTTGGATGCTCAGAACGCGACGCCTAACCGGCTGGAGGATTCACAGTCCTCAAGTGTAATAAGTCTTCAGATCACACAGTCAGGAAGACTTCAGTGATGCCTAACACTTTTTGGCTCTGGGTGTTTAGGGCTTTTGTCCTCGCAAGGATTTCTCTCTCAAAGGCTTCGAGGTGGGTTGCTCTCAAACGACAAAAGCCGTGGACTAACTCTGAGCAGCTAACCAATTTATGGTGTAAGGGGTGGGCTATTTATAGCCACTAGGCAACCCGACCTGATTTGTCCGAAATGACCCTGGGTCACTAAGGAACTGACACATGTTCCGACGGTCAGATTTCAAACACACACGACAACTTTACTTGAGATACAAGCAAAGCTGACTTATCTAGCTCTGGATAAGATTTGCTCTTATTGTCTTCGCTCGAAGACATGGGATTTTGGTTAAGCATCACTTCAGCCATTTTCACTGGTTCACTTGGACCCCACTTAACAGTACGGTGGTTCCTATGACTCAACAAAGAAGAAAAGGAAACAACAAAACAACTAAGTCTTCGCGCTCCATAGTCTGCACGCGATGTCTTCTCTTGTCATAGTCTTCAATGTGAATACCTTCACATACCACCTTTGTCTTCAATGTCTTCATACATTTTTAGGGGTTATCTCCGGTAGGTAAATCAAATCAATGAGGGACTACTACTTGTGTTATTCTACAATTCTCACAAACACATTAGTCCCTCAACCAGGTTTGTCGTCAGTACTCCAAAACCAACTAGGGGTGACACTAGATGCACTTACAATAACCAATAGCAGAACCTGGATGCTCATATTGGTTCCTACATATTTTACGAAGATCTTTATCGGTCAAACCGCATAGCAACATACGTTATTCCCTTTGTCATCAGTATGTTATTTGCCCGAGATTCGATCGTCGGTATCTCAATACCTAGCTCAATCTCATTACTGGCAAGTCTCTTTACTTGTTCTGTAACGCATCATCCTGCAACTAACTCATTAGTTGCATTGCTTGCAAGGCTTATAGTGATGTGCATTACCGAGAGGGCCCAGAGATACCTCTCCGACAATCGAAGTGACAAAATCCTAATCTCGATCTATGCCAACTCAACAAGTACCATCGGAGACACCTGTAGAGCACCTTTATAATCACCCAGTTACGTTGTGATGTTTGGTAGCACACGGAGTGTTCCTCCGGTAATCGGGAGTTGCATAATCTCATAGTCATAGGAACATGTATAAGTCATGAAGAAAGCAATAGGAGTAAACTAAAACGATCAAGTGCTAAGCTAACGGAATGGGTCAAGTCAATCACATTATTTTCTAATGATGTGACCCCGTTAATCAAATGAGAACTCATGTCTATGGCTAGGAAACTTAACCATCTTTGATTCAACGAGCTAGTCAAGTAGAGGCATACTAGTGACACTGTGTTTGTCTATGTATTCACACATGTACTAAGTTTTCGGTTAATACAATTCTAGCATGAATAATAAACATTTATCATGATATAAGGAAATAAATAATAAATTTATTATTGCCTCTAGGGCATATTTCCTTCAGGTCCCACCTAAAATCTTAACGTTCACATTTTGAACTAAATCGGTCTGACTGAGTTTTCTGATTCGGTCCCATCGAGTTTAGTAAATTGTGTGTAACGGTTAGATTTTGTGTTGAGACTATATATACCCCTCCACCCACTCTTCATTCGTGGAGAGAGCCATCAGAACATGCCTACACTTCCATCATACATTTTCTGAGAGAGAACCACCTACACTTGTGTTGAGGTCAAGATATTCCACTCCAACCACATAAATCTTGATCTCTAACCTTCCCAAGTTGCCTTCCACTCAAATCATCTTTCCACCAAATCCAATCCTATGAGAGAGAGAGAGTTGAGTGTTGGGGAGACTATCATTTGAAGCACAAGAGCAAGGAGTTCATCATCAACACACCATCTATTACCTTTTGGAGAGTAGTGTCTCCTAGATTGGTTAGGTGTCACTTGGGACCCTCCGTCAAGATTGTGGAGTTGAACCAAGGAGTTTGTACGGGCAAGGAGATCACCTACTTCGTGAAGATCTACCCTTGTGAAGCAAGTCCTTCATGAGCGATGACCGTGGTGGGATAGACAAGGTTGCTTCTTCGTGGATCCTTCGTGGGTGGAACCCTCCGTGGACTCGCGCAACCGTTATTCTTCGTGGGTTGAAGTCTCCATCAACGTGGATGTACGATAGCACCACCGCACGCCATCCGATAGTCGATAAGGCTTTGTGCGGGAAATGTTCCATGAAAAGTTAGATGTATAACTTTTTTGCATGGTAATACGTGTCTCATTTATATTATAAGGATCATAGTACAAGCTATGTACACACCGACCTGACTAAACTGAAAAGATAGTAAAACGCTAGCCTTTACACAGAGGAACACCAGCTAAGAAGTAACACTAACCCGTCACCCGCCTGTGGCACCACCACAACAACCACAAAGAAATGACTTATCATCTTCACACCTGAGCTCGATGCAGCCCCATTGCTGATATGTAGCTTTGTGGGCCTCCAAGGTGGCTCACCAATGACAAAACCATTATCGCAGAACGAATTAGACCGAGGCAACACCCCAGACAAGCCATCTAACTTCAGATCTGGCGCCCCCACACAACTAAAATGTCGGAGGAGAAAACCATACCTGCCATCCACAAATCACGAAGCCAGCAAACGACCCACCATCTTCAAGATGCCGTTGATGCAGACCACCATCTGTATTCGCTCCTAGACTACCTCCCAAGCTCCGCGCCGATGCTGAAGCGAACGCCTTCGCGAAGGCGGAGCCCGAGGGCATAGGTCCATCGCGAGGATGCCGCCACCGCCATGTCATCCTTGCTTGAACAGACTGATTACCAAATCCATCCCCAACCATAGGACCAATCACCTCCTCGCAGTAGCATGTGAAGAAAGTTTATTCAGCGCTGCCATCGTCGTCGAAGTCGTGACGATGAACAACCTAAAAACTTATATACGTGAGTAAAAAAAATCCACACACGTGGATCCGGTGACCCCCTCATCACCGACGACCGAGGGTGCCGAAGAAGGGGAGCCGCCGGAGGGTGGCGGTGGCGAGATCGCCTTTGCGAGAGGCGGCAACGCCTTTTTCTGTCTTTATTATTATTATTATTATTATTATTATTATTATTATTATTATGGGAGTGTAGCAACGTGAAGATATGAAATTCCATACTAGTCTCAGCACTGTACGATGATGGAGAATTAGGGAAATTTGATGGGGACTCCGTGTGACCTTGCAATTATTGGATCCAAATCACCTCGGCGTGATCGTGTCCCTCTCTCAACATAAAAGATCAGCGCCCTGTCCGACTGCCATCATGGCCCACAAGACAAAGACGACCCAGAGATCACAAAAGAAAAAAAATAAGGGGACAAGAGCCAGAGTCCAGACTCGGCACTCCAGTCCAGCGTCCAGATCTAGATCCCCGGCGGCCCCCATCCCGGGCGGGCCCCACGCTAGCGTCCAGCCACCCTCACCAGCAACCAAAAATCCTACTCGTCCCCAACTTTGCGGGTTCCCAGATTTAGCCCTCTCCCACGACGTCGGCAGGGGCGCGTACTCCCTACGTGCGTGCACTCGTGCACCTCCCCCGACCTCTCCCTCCCTCCCAGCCTCTCTCTCTCTCTCTTTCTCTCTCCCTACCTACGTCCGTCCGTCTCGCGCACGCCTCGCATCATCCCCACCTTTCCCCTGCCTCCTCCGACCCCAATCAGACCAATCCGCTTCCGACCCCAACCCATGCCCTCTTCCATCGCCACCCACCTCCTCAAAGCCGCCGCCGCAAAGCCCCTCTTCTCCCCCCGCGCGGCCCAGATCCCCGCGCTCCCCCGCCCGCCCGCCGCCCGCCGCCCCCCCGCGCCCGCCACCGCCGCCTGCCGCTGGTTCCGGTGGCCGTCGCCCGCGAGGGGGCTCTGCTCCTCGCCGCATTCCGGCCCTGCCGAGGGGATGGGATCTGACGGCACGGGGGCCAGGAGGCGGCTGCCGCCAGCCAACGGTTTGTCCAAGGAAGGGGCGCCGCCGCAGCCCGTCCCGCCCAGGCTGCTCACGCTGCCCACCGTGCTCACCATTGGCCGCGTCGCCGCCGTCCCGTTCCTCATAAGCAGTAAGCGCTAACCAAGCTTTGCTTTGCTTTTTTTCTAACTACTTTACAGTTGGACACATGTTGCACAAGATCGATGCCGAGTATCAGATTTCCTTTACTGATCACTCACTCGATCACGCACAGTAGTAGGCTAAAGGTAGCTGCTGAAAGCACTGACTAGTTGTAGGATTTTCTTTGGCCTGGGACTGGTTAGTTGGATTTCATTATTTTCGGCGAGCAATCTTAGAACAAGTGTGTGCAAAGTGGTGGTTTGCTTTCCCTGTCTCGCCACGTTCGGGTAGCTTGCACAAATAGCTATCTTAGGCTGCCTAACTCTCAAGGAAAATAAGTCAGCAGCAGAGGAAACTTGAAATCATATAATCACTGCAGCATGGGCAACTAGTCAACTACTACTAACGCAGATGGCAAGAGCAAATGATCAATACACAATTCTTCCTAAGCCTCGCTGTGTAGTTTCTGGTACTGCAGCGTTTCCACTGTCCATATTTCCATAGTAGTTTTAAACTGGGGTCATGCCTAGTGTCAGTAGTTAACATACAGGGCTACCTATGCAAGCCTAAACTGTCTCTGTTGTCCTCTATGCTTTTGTTTGATCCAAGCTAGTTTGACTTACAGACTATCAAAGTTACTAGACTTGAGAGACGCAACTTCTATGTCACACAGCACGCACTGATGTGCATAGTCTGCTTAATCTCTTTTGTCCAAATCTTCACAAAGTCATATTGTATTCCCGGGTTTCTTTTAGCAACCGTCAATGTGTTTGCTTCCTCTCCACTGGTGAAGAGTACTTCTGGTGAACTTTATCCTTTATAAAGATTATGGCTGTTTCAAAAGTTCCACCATATTTTTTAGAATCACAGGGAAGAACATAACTATCCTATTTAAAAATTAAACTGAAAGATATACTAAATATTGTCTTCATGGAAACTGGATTAATCTGCAATTTGACGTGTCCTATCACCATAACTGAGTTATGACTTATGATCTGCCAGCGTTGCATTCTTTAGCAATTAGGGTAAATTGTATGCCAACAGTTTAGCTGAGTGTTCTGTTGCTAAAAGGTGTAAAGCCTTTGAGTTTCTTTATTACTTCAGCTGAAAGCCTAAAATTTATTACTTTATTGCCCATGGCTTCATTGAACTGACCAATAGCAGACTTTTGCCGTCAATTATTCATGTCAACGGTTAAATGGACTGCTCATGTGTCATCTATTGAAATTTTGAAATAGTGCCTGTTTGTTTACTGGTGGCCAAATAGCATTTTTGTCACGGGCACAGGAACCAACTGCTTACTTTCCATGCAGTTCGCTGTTGGTTGATATCTGACATGCATTTGGCACTTTTTTTTGTGTTTGTTATGTTTGACATAATAATCTTAGTTTGACTATGGAAATATCCCTTTTTGTGTAATTAATTGATAGCTTGTTATCTCTACTGTTACCAGCTTTCTACATGGAAGGTCCTTGGGCAGCAACTGCCACAACTGGCATCTTCCTTGCTGCAGCAATCACTGATTGGCTAGATGGTTATATCGCGAGAAAGGTGTCACAAATATTGCTGAATATAATATGCTATACTGGGTTACTCTATAATCATTTTTCCTCGTGTTATTGTTTCCTGACATAATGTATTATGCAGATGCATTTGGGAACACCTTTTGGTGCATTTCTTGATCCTGTGGCCGACAAGGTTTCTTTCTCTTTTTGCTGCTCTGATCCTTCTGCACAATGTTGTCTACGCTCTTATCTGTCTGTAGACTGTCAGTTTCCAAAGTCTGAGCTACTCTCGAGAACTAACTTCGTCGCTGCTATTCTCTACTGCAGCTTATGGTAGCTGCAACACTAGTGTTGCTGTGCACCAAACCTTTGGAAACTTCACTGCTCACGAATGGACCATGGCTTCTGACAGTTCCTTCCATTGCCATCATTGGGAGAGAGGTAGTTACCCAGCCAAATCTACATCATAATTTTCCAAAAATGCAAGGAAAAACCATTTTCTAGTTAACCTATCTATAATTATGGAAACATTAAGATGGTAGTTTGATTTCTTTAATTTTGACCTTGTGCTCATATAAATATGTAGGAGTATATGTTTGTTCTGTTGTAAGTGTGGGATCTTGCCTTCCTGTGGGAATAGGATGTTCATGTATTTGTCATGGCTATCTGATCTTATCTCTAAATAAGCCTGTCAAGCCAACATGATAAGTTAGCAACTTCCAATTATACCCTGGCTATTCGTCTTTTTCTGGTTGAATATACGTAGTATGTGCTTCAGTAGATAAAATGAAGGGGCTCTTTTGCCAACCTCTGCACTGTTTTTTATGGAGGCATGGATCGAGTGCACATTGCTCCAGCTTGATTGATTGGCTCCACCATGAGGCTTATTTGAAACAGAACACCCTTTTGATGCATCAAGAAAGGTAGTCAGAATCATGATTCTGAATTGGATCGGAGCTCTGATATTAGGGTCACAAATCGTAGAATCTTAACTATCAGAACTGTAGAAATGTAGATTCTATGAACCAAAATCGTAGAATTGGAGGGGTTAGTTTGGATTGTAAAGTCCTAGAATCATACAACAGAATCGTGATTCCGACAACCGTGGCAAAGTGTTGAGAAGCTCAGAATAATCAATTTACCCCAAAAGCAGGGCCTGCCCTGATGTTTTGGATGCCGCTAGGCAAAATATGGCCTGTAAATTTAGGGTTGTGACCGTGTACCTACTTATACACTATATGCATGGTTCGTAGACCGTTGCAGTTTGCACTTTTCGCGCTACCACAGGGCTGGTCCGCCTAAAAGTCAAGAGGAAATTACCAGATTTGTACAACCTTCAATTCTATGTGAATATGTGGGGTGCCATGGGCAACTTTTAGTATGTTTCCTGGTTCAGTAGAAACACACACACATATGTGGGATGGAAGCACTTTGCCTCTCCAGTTAGATTGAGTCGCTCTACCTCTACCATATGGCTTGTTTGAATCAAAACCAGAGCATGTATGAAATGAAAAAAAGTCTTTATGCTTCAAGATATTTAGAAGCTATGAACGATTTCTATAAGTGTGCTACCCAAAAAAGTTTGATAAAAGTAACAGATTTGACATTCAACTTTCCAGTTCCATGTGAGTGGTGCGTTGGAGCAACTTCACTTCACTTTTCTAGTGGGCCCAGACATATATATCCATTTGCCATTTCGAGAGTTATCTTGTGCTATGAGTTATATAGTGTGCTATGCTTGTCACGAGCTAATGTTCTGGCGTATCTGTTTCTGTAGATCACAATGTCAGCTGTTAGAGAGTGGGCTGCGTCTCAGAATACCCAAGTTCTTGAGGTTCCTTCTGTCTTCTATTGTCTTACATTGCCTTAATTAGACATTCAAAAACTGAATTTGTACTTCCTACAAACAACAGGCTGTGGCAGTAAACAATTTAGGGAAGTGGAAGACAGCGACACAGATGACAGCATTGACTCTGCTCCTTGCCAGCAGAGACCCGAGGTACTTGCATTTTCGCTGACCGAGCTTAAAGCCTTGTCATTGTTTTAATCATTTTGCATGCTGACTGGGGTTTGTTTTTGGCGCTTTTGTTGTGCAGTCTACATGTACAAGGTGCTCTAGTCCCCCCTGGTGTCGCGTTGCTCTATGCATCTGCTGGACTTGCCATATGGTCCCTAGTGGTGTACATCAGAAATATATGGCGGATACTTCTAAAATAGTGTTAGCACATAGTGTAATAGAAGAAACAGGAGCAAAGGCGACGGTATTCCATTCAAGATGCTGCAATTTTTTGGAAGATTGTTGAGTTGATTGATGGGGCCTAGATCTTGTTGAGATCCTCGTGTGACCCGTGCCATTGGTGCTTGGCGGATTAGCCGCCAAAGCTTGTTGATCATGCGAGGATCTCTTTAGAAGCAAAATATATAGCTCGTAGCCTGTGATGCCAAGGTGATCTACTTTCACGGAAGGTAGCCACAGCTTCTGAGTGTTGGACACCGTGTGTAATGAGCTGCAAGACTGGAGACGATGCAGACGATTGTAACCGTATACAAGCACAGACCAGGCGGCTGGCCTGTGCGTGTGGAGTTCCTGCCACTGTAATTTTACCCATATCATATTGCCAGGGAGCACAAAATTATTCTTTCAATGTGTTTCACTCGCTTCTTGCGTGCGAGCTGCTGTCATGCATCTGCTGGTTTCTTTGCTGTTCTCGTTTTGCACATACTGCACTTGTGATTTAACTGAGAATTTCTGTGGATAGAGTACTAAGGGCATCTACAAGGGAGCCCTCCATATGTCTAGACGGACAACTCAGACATTGTCTTGACAGAAAACGCACCTCCAATGGTAGCCCCCAAACCCAAGCCAAATATGGGGCGGACTTGAGACGGAAAACACACCTTCAAAGGCCCCAAACACTAATGATCTAAACGCTCTTATATTTCTTTACGGAGGGTGTACTCTTCAAACCCAAGCCAAATATGGGGATGATTTGAGGCCAACTGGTTTGGGAAGGTTTTAGAACAAGGATGGATGGAATATGGACTGGTTTGGGAAGGTTTTAGAACAAGGATAGATGGAGGATGATGATGGATTTGAGTGTGTTCTTTGGGCTTGTTCGGATCCTTGGGATTTTGAGAGGTTTGAAGGAGGTTAAGAGGGATTAAATCCCTACACGTCAAAATCCTCCTCAATCCCCTTGTGGAGTAGATTAACCACAAGCACTTCTGGGTTTCTGTTAATAGTAATGTACTATGTCATTTGTATGTGTAGTGTATGAAGAACAACATCATCTCGCCCACCACGGACCCCACAACCGCCTCAATCCCTAGGCGGAAACCCTAGCCCTCACTCTCTTCACTCCTCTCCTCCCAATCTGCTCGCACCTCTCCTCTTTGGTCATGTCCCTGTGGTCCCACACCGCCATGTCCGGCTCTAGGGCGAAGGAGGATCCAATCGACTGGGACACGCTCGCTACGGAGGATGACGACAACCTCGCCCTCCGCCAGGCGCGTGGCTCGTCTAGTCAGGGCTTGTCCCCACTGTCCTTGTCAGATTCCTCCAGCTCCACGCCCTCTCGGCGGTCCAGTGGCGCTTTTGCAACTCAGTGACGGCCCCTCCACGACAATCGCCGTGCCTTCCTCATCCGTGTAGGAGCAGCTAGTCAGCGGCGTCCTGTCCTGGTCCTTGCCCGGTTAGGAGACCGATGCCCAACGTTGGCGTTGGAAGAACGCTAAGACGTTGAAGGATGACTCGAGGTGTCGAAGCGCACCAGTGCCCGACGCCTTGGCGGACTTCTAGAGTCCTCAGACTCCAACGTCGTCCCCCAACAACGACACCTACATCGTCTTCGAGCTTTACATAAGGGCAAGGCTGGTGAAGATATTTCCCATTTTATAATGTATAGTATGCTCAGTACAATGTCCTTTTGTTATTGAAACTATGGTTTGTCCTCTATCGTTTGTAGTATGCTATATATGAACTATGTATAAACTGATACATCATATGTAGTTTGTGTGTTTGTGTTGATCAACGTCGCATGGGTTGCATGGATTTGGAGTTTTTTTTCTTCTGACGCTTGAAACCCCCTCTTTATTCATTGGTAATCAAAGATACATCATCATTCACAAGAGATGGAATTAAACCCTGGGAGGAGGGGGGGGGGGGGTTCATCTAACCAATTACTAGGACTATCATATCTAGCAATACGGGCTAATTCATGAGCCACTGTTATCCTCCAGTGGACAGTGTTTGAATATGACATGAACAAAGTTTGTCAATATATGATAGCACTCATCAAAGATGGGAGCTCCCACACCTGCATAGAAACCTCCTTTGCGCATAGTGCTAATATAACATCAACATTGTCGGAGTTGACGACCAGCCGGTTGCAGCCAACAGTCTGCGCTAAATGTAAGCCAAATCTTAGCGCCATTGTCTCCACTGTGAGAGCTTGGATTTGTAGTTTATAAAATATAGGGGACATTATTGTCCAAAGGGACATATGAGATCGACCCCTCGCTGTTTGCGGCAATTTTGAAGTCTATGGAGGTGCTCCAACACATGTTTTTTTTTACATCTCCAACACATATTTTTGTATCCTCCAACTCGTTGGTCATCTCATCTCATCATTCATCTCAAAAAAGAAAAGAAAAACTCTTTCAGTTGGTCCACCTTGCCCGCTCTCGACGGCTTAGATCGCGTGGATTTAGATCTAGCGGCCGCAACGCAAGTCGAACTGAGAAACCCGCCCCCGCCCTCGGCAAACCAGAGCAGAGTGAGTGTTC